GCCCGCCGGAGAGCGGCTCCAGCCCGGCCAGAACTTCCCCTCCCACCGCAGCGCCGGGGGCCGGCGCTCGTTCCTGTTTTCCTTCCTCTTCCTCGCTCTCCCGCCGCCGGGAGCCGCGGGTGGGTCCGCCGGGGGCTCGGGGGGAGGACGGGACCTCCAGGAAGAGGAGGGTCCCCGCTCCCGCCCCCGAGGGGAGGGGACGCGGATTTCGGGCTGATCCCGACCCCGCATCCGCTTCCCGCGGGCGGCCCCGATCCCGGGAGAGCGGGACTGGGAAGCAGAGGCCGCGGACAGGGGGAGCCCGGGGATCGGGGGATGCTAAGGTGGGGTCACCGCGTCACCCCCCGGCCGGGGGAGTCGGGATGGGACCGGGAATGGGGTCGGGAATGGGACCGGGAATGGGACCGGGATCGGGATCGAGACCGGGAATGGGACCGGGAATGGGACCGGGAATGGGACCGGGAATGGGACCGGGAATGGGATCGGGATCGGGATCGGGATCGGCACTTGAGCAGCGGGTTTGGGAGGGCAAAGGGGGTTTGTGATGGAAAAATCGCGGATCGCGGCGGCTCCGTGATCCCAGCGGAGAATCGGGGGCGGGTCTGAGGCTGCGAATGGAAAAGCGCGGCGGTTTGGGATCTAAAATGTGAATTTACAGCGGTTTGGGATCTTAAATGTGAATTTACAGCGGGTTTGGGATCTTAAATGTGAATTTGCAGCAGTTTGGGGATCACAAATAGGAATTCACAGCAGTTCTGGGATCTCAAATTCAAGTTTGTGCCAGTTTTATAATTGCCGCTATGAATTCGCAGTGGTTTTGGGATCACAAATATGAATTTGCAGAGGTTTTGGCACTAGAAATGCAAATTTTGTGTCAGTTTTGTTACAAATTACAAGTTACAAATCTGCAGCATTTTTTGTGATTGTAACTGGAAATCCGCAGAAGTTCTGGAACCAAACGTGAATTTACAGCGGTTCTGGGGTCACAAACGTGAATTTGTGGCAGTTTTATGACTGCGGCTGTAAATCATCTGCTGCACCCGGGGAGGGCTCAGCAGAGCAGCTCGTGGTGCAGAGGATGCCCTGGCTGGGTCCTGGATCCCAGATCCCAGATCCTGGATCTCGATCCCAGATCCCAGATCCCGGATCCCAGATTCCAGATCTCAGATCCTGGATCCCAGATCCCAGATTCCAGATCCCAGATCCTGGATCCAGATCCCAGAACCCAGATCCAGATCCTGGATCCCAGACCCCAGATCCTGGATCCCATCCCAGATCCCAGACTCCAGATCTCAGATCCTGGATCCCAGATCCCAGAACCCAGAACCCAGAACCCAGAACCCAGATCCTGGATATCGATCCCAGATCCCAGATCCCAGATCTCAGATCTCAGATCCTGGATCCCAGATCCCAGAACCCAGATCCAGATCCTGGATCCCATCCCAGATCCCAGACTCCAGATCGTGGATCCCAGATCCAGATCCCAGATCCCAGATCCCAGACACCAGATTCCAGATCCTGGATCTTGATCCCAGATCCCAGATCCCAGATCCCAGACTCCAGATCGTGGATCCCAGATCCCGGATTTTGTATCCCATCCCAGATCCCAGATCCAGATCCCAGATCCTGGATCTCAATCCCGGATCCCGGATCCCATCCCAGATCCCGGATCCCGATCCCATCCCTCCTCTCTGCATCCCTCCCCGCAGGGGCCATGGCCTCGCTGCTGTCGGTGCAGGAGGAGAACCGGATCCTGCAGCAGGAGCTGTCGCGGGTGGAGGATCTGCTGGCGCAGAGCCGGGCGGAGCGCGATGAGCTGGCCATCAAATACAACGCGCTCAGCGAGCGGGTGCGCCTCCCAAATCTGCATGTACAGCCCCAAAATCTGCCTTTGCATCCCCAAATCTGCCTTTGCATCCCCAAATCTGCCTTTGCATCCCCAAATCTGCCTTTTGAGCCCCAAAATCTGCCTTTGCAGCCCCAAATCTGCCTTTGCAGCCCCAAAATCTGCCTTTGCATCCCCAAATCTGCCTTTGGAGCCCCAAAATCTGCCTTTGCGTCCCCAAATCTGCCTTTGCATCCCCAAATCTGCCTTTACAGCCCCAAATCTGCCTTTTGAGCCCCAAAATCTGCCTTTACAGCCCCAAAATCTGCCTTTGCAGCCCCAAAATCTGCCTTTGCATCCCCAAATCTGCCTTTGCATCCCCAAAATCTGCCTTTGCAGCCCCAAATCTGCCTTTGCAGCCCCAAAATCTGCCTTTGCATCCCCAAATCTGCCTTTGCATCCCCAAATCTGCCTTTTGAGCCCCAAAATCTGCCTTTGCAGCCCCAAATCTGCCTTTGCAGCCCCAAATCTGCCTTTGTATCCCCAAATCTGCCTTTGCATCCCCAAAATCTGCCTTTGCAGCCCCAAATCTGTCTTTGCAGCCCCAAAATCTGCCTTTTCAGCCCCCAAATTTGCCTTTTCAGCCCCCAAATCTGCCTTTTCACCCCCAAATTTGCCTTCCCAGCCCCCAGTCCAGGCGCTCCCGGTGTGGGGTGGGAGAGCTGCGCTGTCCCAGTGCGGGATTTGGCCAGACCGGTCCTGGCTTGCCGGGGCTTGTCCATCCCTGCTTTGTTTGTCCCGCTGTTTTTTTGGGAAGGACCCCCCTGTGGGAATCCTTCCCTTTTCCAGCACTTTTCCCTGGCAACCGGGAATTCCGAAGGGAACCGGTGCTCCCGGTGTGGCTCCAGACTGGTGGGGTTCTGGAGGAATGGAGCCCCATTATTTAATGGAGCTTAATTAATTCTGGAGGAGTTGGTGCCTCATTATTTAAACAACAACAACAAAAAAATCAAATATCAGGAAAATATCCCCAGGCAAGTTCCCACTCCTGTCCCAAGGAACTTTTATCCATCATCTCCACCCAAACCGGGAATGGGCTTCACCAGAGGTTGGGTTATCCTTGAGAGCACCCCTGAAATTCACCCCCTCCCTGAGCAATGAGGGAATGTGGGAGCTGGGGGGATGCTCGGGGGGGGTCCAGCCTGGATCCCCCCGATTCCAGCTGGAGCAGAGCCTGCAGCCGGAGCCGGGGGAAGCAGCCGAGAGCCGGAGCCTGGCCCAGCACAACATCGAGCTCCGGAGGCTGCTGGAGGAGGAGCAGGCTGCCTACAAGAGGAAGCTCCAGGCCTACCAGGAGGGCCAGCAGCGCCAGGCCCAGCTGGTGCAGAAGCTCCAAGCCAAGGTAAATCCTTCCCGGGGGGGCGCTGGGATGATTTGGGGTCACCCCCCGTGGGTGTCACCCCCCCCGGGCCTCCCCAGGTGCTGCAGTACAAGAAGAAATGCGGGGAGGTGGAGCAGCAGCTGCTGGAGAAGGCGACGGAGCTGGAGCAGGAGAGGCTGACGGTGAGGGGGAATTCGGGGCCCCCCAAATCCCCAGGTGGGGGTGATGGCCAGCGGGGGGATATTCCCACAGATCCAGCTGGATGCCAGCGGCTCCCAGCCCGAGGAGGAGAGCAGCAACGAGCTGGAGAATGCCCTGATCCGGCTGGAGGAGGAGCAGCAGAGGTGGGTGGGAGTGGGAGAATTCCCGGGATCCCAGGGGAATGTGAGGATTTTGGGGATGCTGACCTCGCTGATCCCCCGGGATCCCAGGAGCAGCAGAGGTGGGTGGGATCCCAGGGGAATGGGAGGATTTTGGGGATCCCAGGAGCAGCAGAGGTGGGTGGGAGTGGGAGGATTTTGGGGACCCCAGGAGCTGCAGAGGTGGGTGGGAGTGGGAGAATTCCCGGGATGGTGAGCTCGGTGATCCCCCGGGATCCCAGGAGCAGCAGAGGTGGGTGGGAATGGGAGGATTTTGGGGACCCCAGGAGCAGCAGAGGTGGGTGGGAGTGGGAGGATTTTGGGGACCCCAGGAGCAGCAGAGGTGGGTGGGAGTGGGAGGATTCCCGGGATGCTGAGCTCGGTGATCCCCCGGGATCCCAGGAGCAGCAGAGGTGGATGGGATCCCAGGGGAATGGGAGGATTTTGGGGACCCCAGGAGCAGCAGAGGTGGGTGGGAATGGGAGGATTCCCAGGATCCCGGGGGAATGTGAGGATTTCGGGGATGCTGAGCTCGCTGATCCCCCGGGCCCCAGGAGCAGCAGCCTGGTGCAGGTGAACTCGATGCTGCGGGAGCAGCTGGAACAGGCCAACGTGGCCAACGCGGCGCTGAGCGAGGACATTCGGAAGCTCACGGCCGACTGGGCACGGGCCCGGGACGAGCTGGAGCAGCGGGAGGCGGAGTGGAGACGCGAGGAGGAGGTGGGGGGACACCCCGGGACACCCCAGGGACACCCCAGGACGCCCCAGGACACCCCAGGGACATCCCAGGACACCCCAGGGACACCCCAGGACACCCCAGGGACACCCCAGGACATCCCAGAGACACCCCAGGGACACCCCAGGGAC